GTAGGTAAGTGCACCTGTGTCGTGCAATGCCCATGGAGGTCAGAAGAGGCTGTTGGATCCCCTGGGACTGGAGTTATGGATAGTTGTTAGCTGTCATGTGGGTGTTGGGATTCGAACCCGGGTCTTCTGCAAAAACAACCAGTGTTCTTAACTGTTGAGCCATCTCTCCATCCCCAAGACAATTATTTTTTTAAAGACTTTACTTATTTTTATGTGTATGAATGTTTTGCCTGCATGTATGTAAGTAAGTGCATCATGTTGTATGCCTAGTACCTATGGAGGCCAGAAGAGAACTTGGATTCCTTGGAACTAGAGTTATAGGTGGGTGTTAGCCACCATGTGGGTGCTGGGAACTGAACCTAGATCCTCTGGAAGAGCAGAAAGTGCTCTTAACTGCTGAGCCATCTCTCCAGTCCTGACAAAATGACTTTTAAAGGGGGCAGGGGCTTGGCAAGTAGCTAAGTGGTAGAGTATATGCTTAGCATGCAGGAGGTTTTCTGCTCAAATAATAAAAATAAATAAATAAAAAGTAAATAAATAAGGACAAAAGACCAGATAAGGTACATCTCTACAGAAAGGCTGTCCAAATGACCAATTAGCATATGTTCAATCTCATAACCATACAAGAATGCCACTATGCTCAAATGATCATGAGTGGATGTTGCTGAGAATATACAGAAACAGAACTCCTATGAATTGCTGATGGGATATACAAAACACAATTCAGAAATATGCTTGACTGTCTCCTATATTTCAATACACGCATATAGTATGGCCCAACAATTCCAATCCTACATGCATATCCAGGAGAGATGAGAATTTTTTTTTTGAGACATGGTCTCCCTGTAGCTTCTGCTGGCCTGGAACTCCGTATGTAGACCAGGCTGGCCTTGAACACAGATATCCACCCACCTCTGCCTCCCAAGTGCTGGGATCAAAGGCATGTGCCATCATGCCCAGCTCCCAGAGATGAAAATATTAATAGAGTAGATAAATAATGATAAAACCATATGTTGCATTATCACATAGTAAGGAAAATAAATTACAGCTATAAAGGATAAATCTTGCTAATTCAATACTGTATGAAAAGTTAGATGCAAATGCTACATTGTTTTATTCCATTTATGTAAAATTCAAATACAAGCAATACATTCATGAATTTATACTTCTGTAGAAAGCATAAGGGAAAGAAAAGAGGTAGACCATTATCTTAGCAGCAAGGGCTAGAAGAAAGCGACATGAAAGGTTTGTAGGAACTGGCAATGCTAATTCTAGATGGATTTTCTCATTCTGGGTTTTCACTTCGTAATAATTAATCAAACTCTACATTTCATGTACTTTTCTCTCCATGTATATTTCATACTAAAAATTAAAAACCTGTGTCAGGTATTACTTCCTTGTCTGACCTTCACAGAAAATGGCATACTAGAAAAACAAAACTCTTAACCTAAATGAAAACAACTCAAAGTTACAGAAAAATTTTGCAAGCCAACTTCTGGGCCTTTATGTGAATTAGGAGAAAGTACCCTCTCCGGGAAGATGCTTTAGCAAAACTCTGTCCATGGGTGGAATGAACCAAAGAGTTCCCTTTGCACAGGAGATACAATTCTGTATCTATGGAGACAGGTTGTGGGGTGGAATGCAGACTGCCTTTCCATCCCACTTGCTTCCTCATGTGGAGGCAGAGAGCACAAAGATCTCCCAGGAAGTTGTATCTGAGAGAACAGAGATGACATGATATGCAAATTGGGCCATATATGGAACATGTCCTGGCACAGGCCCATAAACACCCAATTGGGAGCACTCTTCCTTACCGCATAACCTTCTGTCTTCTTCTGACACCACTTCAGTAGTGCATTACGCTTGGAGCCACCATATTCCCGGGCCAAGGCCGCCAAAGGGTCTCTTCTTTCGACACTGGTTACAAAGAAGGGCACACAGTTAAGGAGGATGATGGTTGTCGCTGGTTTTCTTTTGTAACAAGGTCTCATGTGGCCCAGGCTGACCTTGAACTCACTCTGCAGCCAAGGATGACCTTGAGCTCCTGATATTCCTGCTTCCATATCCCAAACGCTGGGATTAGAGACATGTACTACCACGTCTGGCAGGCTGATGACTTTTACAACCCCAAAATATGTAAGAAATAAGCAACTAGATTAGAAACAGTTGAAGTCTAAGTTTTTTTCATATAGACTAAAGAAACAACCAAATTAGACACTTAAAAATACATTTTATTAGCTGGGCGTAGTGGCACATGCCTTAAATCCCAGCACTTGTGAGGCAGAGGCAGGCGGATCTTTGTGAGTTCAAGGCCAGCCTGGTCTACATAGTGAGTTCCAGGCCAGCTGGGGCTACAGGGAGACCCTGTCTCAAAAAGACAAAAAAACAAACAACAACAACAACAATACATTTTATTACGCCTCAGGGTATGAAAGAAAACCTAAACTGTACTTCCTGACAACTTTAAATCTGGGGAGAATTTTGTTTTAAAACTCATCCATCTCAAGAGGCAGAGGCTGTCTGCTGTAGTTTGGATATGGAAGGCCCCCAAATGCTCATGGTTAAAGGCTTTGTCCCTACAGTAGCCCTAGTGGAAGTGGTAGGTAGAGCCTCTGAGAGCTAGGGCTTCATGGGAGGCCTCAGACCACAGAGGTGCCTTGAAGGAGACTGTAGGACTCCAAGACTCTCTTTTCCTTTTATTTTACTTCTTGGCTGCGATATGAGCATTTTGACAGGCTCCTGTCATGATGTGCTGCCTCACCAGAGGACCAAGGCAACTCAGCCAACAGATCATGGACGGCAACCTCCAAACCATGAGCCAAAACCAAACAAGCCTTTTCTTTGGATAGGTTAGTTATCTCAGGTCACAGTGATGGAAAACTGATTAATACAAGATCCCTCTGTCCATCCTTTGCTTCCCCATGTCCCATCACAAAGGCAGGCTTTCTGTAAAATTCCTTCTTTTATCTGACCAGATCCATGAAGAGACAGTATGACTACATTCAAGTCTTCAGACTGAAATTTTACCAGCCAGATCAATAGAGGAAGAAAAACCAAAGTCTAGCATCACAGCTAGAGCTCAGAGGAACTCTGTTCCAGGCCACTGTTCTTCTGGACCCACTCATCTGCTAGAAATTAATTTACTATACCCCTAAAATCACCCAAGCCCCCTATTCCTTTTCCCTTTGAAGAAGGTGTTTAGGTTTTAATTAGTTGATCTTTTCTTTGAATCTTATGCTTTGGGCATGGTTCCCATGTTAATGTCTGCACATAAAAATAACATGCAAAGTTTTGTTAATCTATTGCTCTTTTATTTCATAGACTAAAATTATGAAGCTTTTGGAGGGAAACTTTAAACGTCCTTATAGATTCCATCCAATATTTAATAAAACTTTTTTTAATGTATGTATGTGTATACATGTGCATACAAGTGCATATGTATATCTATGCATACATGTGTGGAGGCTAGAGGTTGATGTCAAGTGATTTCCTAATTATCTCTTTCCATTTACCTTTTTAAAAAATGATTTATTGCTGGGCATGGTGGTGCACGCCTGTAGTCCCAGCACTTGGGAGGCAGAGGCAGGCGGATATCTGTGAGTTCAAGGCCAGCCTGGTCTACATAGTGAGTGCCAGGACAGCTGGGGCTACAAGGAGACCCTGATTCAAAAAGACAAAATAAATAAATAAAAATGATTTATTTTATGTGCATGAGTTTTTGTCTGAATGTATGTGTACCATATGTATGCAGTTGCCTGTGGAGGCCAGAAGAAGGCAGCAGAACCCCTAAAGTGGAGTTACAGGCTGTTGTGAACAGCCATGTGGAGACTTGGAACCAAACCCAGGTCCTCTGTAAGAGGATAAAGTGCTCTTAACCACCAAGACATCTTTCCAGCCCTCCACCTTATCTGGTGAGACAAACTCTTAACTGAACCTAGTACTCATTGGCTGGTTAGACTGGCTGACCAGTGAGCTCTAAGAATCTACCTATGTCATGCCCCTTCCCCTTGTTCTCCACTCTAAAGTTGTAGACCTGATAGAGAACACTTGGCTTTTTTTTTTTTTTTTTTTTTTTTTTTTTTTTGTCTTTTTGAGGCAGGGTCTCCCTGTAGCCCCAGCTATCCTGGAACTCACTATGTAGACCAGGCTGGCCTCGAACTCACAGAGCTCTGCCTGCCTCTGCCTCCCGAGTGCTGGGATTAAAGGCATGCACCACTACGCCCAGCTACACTTGGCTTTTTTACTTGGGTGCTGGGGATCTGAACTCAGGTCCTCTTGCCTCTGTGGCAGATACTTTACCACATTTCAATGACTTCTTAAATAGAGGAATAGATAATTCTGTATCTAAGGAATATGAAAAATACATGTGAATATGTAATATATACATGGTAGGGATGTGGTAAAAAAGGTTTCAAGAAAAATACTTGAGGGGCTGGAGAGATGGCTCAGCAGTTAAGAACATTGGTTGTTCTTGCAGAAGACCCGGGTTCAAATCCCAGCACCCACATGGCAGCTAACAACTGTCCGTAACTCCAGTTCCAGAGGCTCCAACAGCCTCTTCTGTCCTCTGCGGGCATTGCACAACACAGGTGCACTTACCTACATGCAGGCAATACATGCATACACATAAAATAAAATAAAAAAATAATAAAATAAAATATATTTAAAAAGAAAAATACTTGAAACATGAATTAAAAACTTTCTTGTACAATTTGATGACTGCTTTTTCATGTACCTGAACAATATATAACATCAAGCCCCTGCCCCAAAATTTAATAATATAAGGTGAGAGTTTCTTTTTTAAATTTATTTTATGTGTATGAGTGGCATGTATGTACATGCACTATGTATGTACAATGCCTGCAGAAGCCAGAAGAAGATGTCAGATCCCCTGGAACTGTAGTTATAGACAGTTGTTAGCTGCCATGTGGGTGCTGAGAACCAAACCCAGGTCCTCTGCAAGAGCAGCCAGTGCTCTTAAGTGCTGAGCCATGTCTCTAGCCCTTCTTTTTTGAATCCAGACTGACCATGGACTCCAGATCTTCTTGCCTCACCTTTTTAAAGGCTAAAATTGCAGGTGTGCAGGACTATGCCTAGCTACAGACTGAAAATATCTAAAGTAGGTAATTCCTGGGCTGGCAAGATGGCTTAGCAGGTAAAGGTACTTGCTGCTAAGTCCAATGATGTGAGTCAAATTCCTGAAACTACATGGTGGAAGTTATCTTGACCTCCACATGCTCAAGGTGGCATGTGCACACACATGTGTACATACACGTGTACATGCACACACCTCAAATAAATAAATAATAGAAAAGAGAATTTCCATTCTGTCATAGGTTAATTTCAATGACATGAATGTAAAACAAAAATTTAATCTCCTAGAATAAGCAGGATAATATATAATATCTACAACTTTAAATTAAGCCCTTAAAATACATGACTTCATCTATTTGGGTCCCAAATACAGGCTAAAGACAAAGATAAAAGATCTGAACTTATTCAGATTCACAAATCTTTTCATATGACACATACTGATAATTATGTGTTATAAAGCTCTTTCTCCTAAAGTAGCCAGTTTTGCATATTCACCTTCTTACCCATGCATAAGTTTCTTCTAGGTGATCTAGACACAAGGCAAGGGGCTGAGAAGAATATCAAAATGTACAAAATATTTACTACCCACTATATGACAGCAAGTTATTCACACTATAAAGCAGTACATGTATTAAATACTCAAATGAGTGTAAGACACCAAAGTTGAATGGAGTGAAGGGCTGGGCTGTTGTCACAGGTGAGTTGGAGACAGCTAAACTGCAGCAGGGCCAGAAGGCCTGGATGACTGTCACCAGGGCTTCTGAGAGGTCTGCAATAAGACACTCAGAGGACTAGCAACAGGAAGAAGCAGGGAAGACCCAGGGGAGAGAAGCAGCTGAAATAAGTTTGGTAGGACCTTTGTGCCAGGGCACTGACAGGGAGGAGGTGGCAGAGGCATGGGTGCAAAGATGGGCCTCACTGTTGTCTCCCTCCTACCACATCCTTCACATCTTTGCTAAAGTCCCTTTAAACACTAATCTCAAAAGTGTCTCTCTAATCCTCCTTCTGTGCCACTGTGTTCTCATTAATCTCCCTTAAAGAGCAGGTCTGATCTTAATCACTACTCAAAAACAAAAACACAATCCCACAGACTTAGTGGTTCCCCACTGATTTACCAAAATAAGTATGAAGCTTTTTCTTGGCAATGCAGACTATTTGAAACAGGGCTCCAACCTGCCTTGCCAGCTGTAATACCTTAGCCATCTACCCATATTGACTGGGAACCTGCTGTATATTTGGTAGGGCCTTGTTGAGGCCCAGGGTTCATTCAGTTCCATAACACTCATCCAGATGCATTTACAACTCTTGACAGAAACTCCACTTCTTTCTAGATTTCCTGACAACTTGCAACCCATAACAACCCCTTAAGCACTTTGCTTAAACTTTAAAGATTTAAGGCCAGGTGTGGTGGTGCATGCCTTTAATCTCCGCACTTGGGAGGCAGAGGCAGGTGGATCTCTGTTAGTTCAAGGCCACCCTGGTCTGCACAGTGAGTTCCAGGCCAGCTGGAGCTACAGGGAGAACCTGTCTTAAAAAAAAGATACACACATACACACACAAAAAAAAACTCTTTAAAGATTCCAGGTGTTGTGGCACACGCCTTTAATCCCAGCACTTGGGAAGCAGAGGCAGGTGGATCTCTGTGAGTTTGAGGACAGCCTGGTCTACATAGTGAGTTCCAGGACGGCTGGGGCTGCTACAAGGAGACCCTGTATCAAAAAGACAAAATAAAAAAGCTTTAAGCCAAAACTGTTAAATAACAAACTATATATTAACAGAACACTAAAAGACATGTGAAAAAAATCCCTAGACAAATTAAGTTTCATGTAATATGCTTAACACAGAAATATTACAATAAAAAAGATTTATTTAGTGTGTATGTGTGTGTGCTTGCATGTATGCATGTGCACCATGTATGTGCAGTTGTTCATGGAGGCCAGGAGAGGGAATTAGATTCCCCTGGAACTTGAGTTACAGGCAGTTGTGAGCCACCTGATGTGAGTGCTGGGAACCCAGCCTGGGTCCTCTGGCAGAGCAGCCACCGCTCTTAACTGCTGAGTCATCTCCTCAGTTCCACTTTGCTTAAACTCGAAAAATCACTTTTGCTGGGCATGGTGGCATATGTCTTTAATCGCAGAACTCTGGAGGCAGAGGCAGGCAGATCTCAGTGAGATCAAGGCCAGCCTGGTCTACACAATGAGTTCCAGGCTAGTTGGGGCCTCAGGGAGACTCTGTCTTAAAAAAAATTTTTTTAAACATTTTTAAACTTTATTACTGATGACAGGGGGCACCAGTGTGCATGTGGAAGTCAGACAACAGCATTGGTTGGTTCTTTCCTTCCACCTTTACATGAGGTCTTGGGATTAAACTCAGGTCATCAGGTTTGCATGGCCAGTACCTTTACTCTTTGAGCCATCTCCAGGCCCCTGTTTAAACTTAAAAACAAATTTATTTTTACTTTCAGGTTTTTTTTTTTCTTTTTTTTTTGAGACAGTCCTATGTAGGTCTGGCTGGCCTGGAACAGATTATGCAGACCAGGTTGATCTGGAACTCACAGAGATCCAACTGCCTCAGCCTCCTGAGTGCTGAGATTAAAGGTGTGTGCAGGGGGGAGGGGGTTAATTTAGTATAGCCATTCATTTGATTTTTCCCCAAATCATTATGTAGTGTCTTCTTTTTAGACTTGTTGAAGGTAAATTTAGTATCGTGATCTTGTCATTCAGGAGGTACTTAAAGCAAAATGACTATGGGTGAACCAGAAGGAAGAGGAAGATGCTTATCTAATTTCTTTTACTTTAAAATGCAGTACCTGAGTTTGCTTGGTTTCAGACCCCCGGTGGATGCACTCAGAAGTCTGGTGCCCCCAAAGCCCAGGGAGGAGGGTCTGCTCAGGGACTCCAGTGAGGGGCTCTTTCGGAGGTAAGGGTCCGGTTTCATGTCCTCAGCTCGTCCCTTCAGAAGATCTGTGCGAATAACAAAATTATTGCTTACTCCCAAAAAGACGTTTGACTGGTTATCATACTTCTACCTCAGGTACAAACATATCTATATGGGTATGTGATATACACATATACATACATACATACATACACACACACACACACACACACACACACACTTTTGGGCCTTCCTGGAGTAATAAAAATGCAAATAGGGACATGGTGTTTTCTATAAATCTCCAGACAGGACTACTACATGATCTATAAAACCTAGTGCCAGAGGCTGAAGAGATGGCTCAGTGATTCAGAGTGCTTGCTGCACAGTCATGAGGACCAGAATTCAGATCCCAGAATGCCAGGTGTCCTGCCCACATTGAAAGGCCCAGTTCTTGATGAGGACTGAGACAAAAGGATCACTGGTGCTTGCTGGCTTCCAGTCTAACTGAGAAAATGTGAACCCCAGATTCAGGGAACCTTCCTCAAAGGATTACGTGAAGAGTGATAGAAGGGAATAAATAGTTGATGCCCTCTTTGGGCCTCCACACGTGTTCACAGACTCATGTGTGCATACACACATGGGCGTGCGCATGTACATACACACACAAATAAATAAATAAAAATAAATCCTAAGCCAGGCATCATGGTACACACCTTTAATCCTAGCACTCAGGGGGCAGAGGTGGGCAGATCTCTGACTTCAAGGCCAGCCTGGTTTACATAGTGAGTTCCAGGTCAGCTGGGGCTACAGGGAGACCCTGACTCAAAAAGACCAAAAAACCCCCAAAAAAACCTGGTGCCAAAGCAGCCCTTTGTTCAAAAATTATTAGGCAGTTATCAGAGTATTAAGTAAAGTATGGGCCCTTTGAAGAGACAACTACTCAGTTACAATACCCACAGCACCAGTCCTGACCCTAGCTAGTATATCTTGTGCTGTGGATATCAAACAAAGTAAGCAGATAGGAAAATGTCTCATGTGACTGTTAGGTCACAAACAGCAGCAGACAAACAGCTGGGCACCAAGAATAATAGCCCATAGAAAAAAAGTTGTTCTAATTGCAGCTTTAGTTCATTAAAAAGTAAGCAAAAAATCCCTCTTTTTAAGACTCCTTTCAGCTGTGAACACAGGTACTAAAATGGGCTGAATTCTGCAGAGATTTCATAAAGGATCAAAAAAGCAAAGCACAGAAGAGAATTTTTAAGACTGGCTTATAATGATGGAGGAATCTGTGGCTAAGAGAATAGGGTGATCCTTCAAAGCTACAGGACAGCCTGGACCAGGCTGGGACCACCTCCTGTTACCCACAAACAGTCATAGAAGAAAACAATACTTCAACTAATAGCCACCAATTATGGGCAGTGAAGTTGAGAGTGAAGCCAATTAGGTCTAAAGAGCAGAGAAAAATAGTGTTTACATCACTAAAGAGAACAACAAAAACAGCACATTAATCTGCAGTTAGGGATGACCTCAATGTTGACAAGCAGTTGCTGGAAATGGCTAGAAGCAAACAATTTTCACCAAGCAGACCTTTCTTTACTACAGTAAACAAAATCATCAGGGAGGCAGGTGCCTGAGTAAGGGAGAGAAGGACTGTGAATGGGCTATTTACTCCACAGCAAGTCGTCTCAACTTTGGTATTTATCTTGTCAACCAAAAGAATGGTTTCTTTAGGTAATTAGGAAACTTTGAAGTTGGTAGGACAGAAGACACAAAAACTATGATCACCCACTGAATTCAGTGAGATGGTACATCTTATGTTGTGTAGCTTTTAGCACAATTAAAAAAATCCACCTAGCATTATTTTACACAAAATAATGAAGGTATGCTATTGTGTAATGTAGTGATGCACAGAATTTATATCAGGCAGGTTTTTCACTCTTCTGTTTCAGCCTCTGCCCTCCATTTCTGGAAAGAGGTACTCAAACTTGACTGCCTATGACTTTAAGTTGCAGCCATGCTCAGTTACCAAACCCCGGGGCCCTTAAGAATGACATTAACTCTACTCTGCCTGTGCTCTGTGAATGACACAGCAAAGACAGATGAGAATGTATCTCTTTCTGTCTCTCTATTTTTCATTTACAAGTATGTGTGTGTGCCTGCATGAGTTTATGTGTATCAAGTGGTTGCAGGTACCCATAGAGGCCAGAGGGAATCAGATTCCTGGAAATGCAGTTACAGGCAGTTGAGAGCTATCTGATACGGTAGTGGGAACCGACTCCATGTCTTCTAAGAGCAGCGTGTGCTCTTAACCACTGAGCCATAACATCACTTTACATTATGCTGTATGAAATGTTTAAGGCCCACTGCCGAGACCTACTGCTCACACACAAAAAGATTCCTTTCAAAACCTTACTGCCCAAGACCAAAAAGATGGCTCAGTGGGCAAAGGTGCTGCCACACAAACCTGAGTTCGACCCCTGGAACCATGGGATGGAAGGAGAGAACCAACTCCACAGAGTTGTTTTCTGACCTCTACATATGTTCTGTGGCAGGTGAATACACAACTGTGTGTGCGTGCAGACAAAGTAATAAAATTTAAAATGACAACAATGGGGGCTGGAGAGATGGCTCAGCAGTTAAAGACACTGGCTGTACTTGCAGAAGACCTGGGTTCAAATCCCAGCACCCACATGGCAGCTAAGAACTGTCTGTAACTCCAATTCCAGGGGATCTGATGCCCTCTTCTGTCCTCCGAGGGCATTGCATGACACGGGTGCACTTTACACATGTAGGCAATACATGCATACACATAAAATAAAAATAATAAATAAAATATTTTAAAAAATAACAATGACCAAAAAAAAATTCTCACTGCTCACTGAAAGTGCAGCTGGGCACTCAAGAGCTCTGATGGAGATGTAGAAGAGTAATGTCCTTTTCTTAACATTAGTTTCATGCCTACTGACACAACAGCCATTCAACATCCCATAAATCAAGGAGTAAGTTCAACTCTGAAGTGCTTTTCTCTAAGCAAATATTTCACAAGCTATAGTTGCAATAGACAATGATTACTCCTATGGATTCTGGCAGAGTAAACTCGAAGCCTTCTGGAAGGATCAGCACTGTGCATACCATTAGGAACATGGTGGTTTGACGGAAGAAGCCAAAAGAGCAAGAAGTCATCCCTCCCTCATGGATGACTCTGAAGGAACCGAGACTTCTTTATGGAAACCAGGGCAGATGAGGGTGAGGCAACCACTGCCATCTCAGGAGGCACATTAATGGTGGTGAGCTGCTGCTTACCTGGGGCCTTTACAAGAACAGTGTATATTCTTAACCTCTGAGTCATCTCTCCAGCCCCAGAGTTGTTTCTACTTCTGAGGTGAGGAAACCAAAGGACGACAAAGCCAAAGCTGAATAGGAAGTGGCAGTGTCAAGACTCAGGGCCAAGCAGGGCCCCTCCCACCCCCCTTTTTACTATTTCTTTGCACCATCACAATAGGAGGCCCAGCAGCAATGACCTATAAGACCTCCACCTCATTGCCAGGATTTGAATTCAAAAAAAGAATACAGTGCAACAATAAGGACACAGACAGCGATACCTTAACAACAGTGTGTGCTAAGGACTGTGGAATCGATGGACAAATGCAAAACCAGACAAGGTTTCTCTGCACAAAGTAGGTATTTTTTTTTAAAGGATAGAAGCTATTTCCTTAAGATTCAGTTTATTGAAAAAAAAATAAAATAAAACCCCAGCCAAGTTTGGCATCTCTTGAGTCCACAGTCTGAGGAGGGCAGTTGGCAGGAGACATTTCTTCTCCCATAGGCTGTGCTGGATCAAATGGACACAATGTGTACCATAAGAGTTGAAAGCAGCTGAAATTTACTTATTACTTTTTCTAAATTTAAGTCCATGCAAAAAGCCCACCCCACAAAAGCAGGCCACAAATACTTGTGTTTTAAGTGATTTACCTGAGAGGGGAAGGTCTGGAAGATCCAGGTGCTGAGCCATCCTTTTGCTGGTTGGCCGCATGCTGCTGTAAGTCCCATGTCTCTATCAAAACAAAGGGCACATCAACATAATGAACCTGTGACATTAGGAGCAGGAGAACATAAGTGTGTGCTGCTTCTTAAGCACAGGGAGCTTTTAAAATAACTTATGCATTCAAATAGCTAATGTAATTGATATAGGCCTTAGAGGAAACAAGGAGGTTAAACAGTGAAAAGATAACTCCCAGTGCCAGTCTATCATGTGATGGTTTAAATAAGAATGTCCCCCATAGGCTCCATGTATTTGGACATTTTGTTTCCAGTTGGCAAGCTGCTTTGGGATTTTAGGAGGTGTGGCCTTGCTGGATGGAGTGAGTCACTAGAGGTAGGCTTTGGGAGTTCTTAAGCCTTGCCAGATTTCCAGTCACTCTCTGCTTCCCTGTGCCTGCATGGAGATGTGATTGTTTGGCTTTCTGCTCTGCCACTATACCTCCCCCGCCACTATGGACTAGAATCTCTCTGGAATCATAAACCAAGTAAATTCTTCCTTCTATGAGTTGCCTTGGTCATGGTGTTTTATTACAGCAACAGAAAAGTAGCTAATACACACATATTTAATTTTCCCAGAGGCAATTATTATTAATCAACTTTATGAGTATCCTTTCTGTAATATTTTATACATGTTCAAGGATGTGTAAAAAAAGTTTTTTTTGTTTTTTTTTTTGTTAGGAGCAGCAACATGCCCTGCACTGGGAGGCAGAGACAGGAGGATTCAGGGGGAGGAGAGGGGGAGGGGCTTGCTAATCAGCCAGTCTAGCAATTCTGCCATCTCCAAGGTCTCCAAGTTCATTGGTGGAGGATCATGAGGAAGACAATTGATGACAACTTTTGTCCTCCATATGTGCAAGCAAAGACATGCACACTTGCACACACATGCATTTACCACATGTGCATATAACACACACAAAGAAAAAAATGCCTTTTTTGGTCTTTTTGAGACAGTGCTCCGGAGTGCTGGGATTAAAGGTGTGCACCACCACACCCGGCAAAAATGCCTTTTTAAAAGTATTTTATTAATGCCGGGTATGGTGGTGCACGCCTTTAATCCCAGCACTCTGGAGGCAGAGGCAGGCGGATCTTTGTGAGTTCGAGGCCAGCGTGGTCTACATAGTGAGTTCCAAGACAGCTGGGGCTACAGGGAGACCATGTCTATAAATATATATTTTAAGAATATATATGGCCGGGTGTGGTGGCACATGCCTTTAATCCCAGCACTTGG